ACACACACACACACACACACACACACACACACACACACACACACACACACACACACACACACACACACACACACACACACACACACACACACACACACACACACACACACACACACACACACACACACACACACACATATATATATATATATATATATATATATATATATATATATATATATATATATATATATATATATATATATATATATATTACCCATATATAAATTAGGATTTCCAACAGAATGAAAATAGTCATTCATATCTTCCAATCATGTGACCACATTTTCTTATCATTATCATCCCATTGTACTTCCGGCTTTGGTACGACGACACCTTCACCAATAGTCATTGTAATTTTATTAGGACCATTGATGATGACGTCTTATACACCCTTATAAGTTGAGTTGATATGGACACGCATACAAGCTTTCCAATAGCCATAATTTTCACCGGTAAAGATGGACGCTCTATTGTATGCCCCTTTAGGTTCGGTAGCCGTTTTCTAATAAGCGAATATTGGAGCACGAAATTAACTGGAACTCGTGATGCCACTTGTTTGACGAAAGCAACTTATCTAGAGAAGGGGGTGAATATATTCCAACTTTAAAAAAATACTTTACAAAAACTATTTTGAAAAATTTTAACGGCTAACAGAAGTGGCCCAGATCAAATCGTCTAAATTGAACCACTATTAAAAACATTGTATATGTGTATATGAAAACCAATTGATGATAATGATAAACAAATCAATCAATGTGTTTACAAAAATCATTTAAATGATATAACTAAAGACAAAAGCTATTTGCAATGACAAAATTTACAAAAATGAAACTAAGGAAAATTATCAAACACCTTGTGTGCAACCAATTTCATTTAGAATTTTGTATGGTTTTGTTGATTTGAAAATCTAACCACAATCAAATAGATTGTGATCAATTCAACAAAAATCTTTTTCAAACATTATCAAAAAGTGTAACCAAACGTATTGATCGCACAATCGAAGAATTCAACAATTTGCAAATGAAAAATAAAAGATATATATATATATATATATATATATATATATATATATATATATATATATATATATATATATATATATATATATATATATATATATATATATATATATATATATATATATATATATATATATATATATATATATATATATATATATATATATATATATATATATATATATATATATATATATATATATATATATATATATATATATATATATATATATATATATATATATATATATATATATATATATATATATATATATATATATATATATATATATATATATATATATATATATATATCTTTTATTTTTCATTTGCAAATTGTTGAATTCTTCGATTGTGCGATCAATCTTTTGATAATTCTTTTATGATCTCGAAGGATATATATATCTTATGAGAATGCAATTTTTATGTGAGAACATGAGAATGAATATGAACCATTAGATTTAACAATAAATGGTGGAGATTATGTGTGGTTTTTTCTCTCTCATCCATTATTAAAATAAATGATAGAGGAGAGAGAAAAAAACCACACATAATCTCAACAATTCATTTTAAAATTTAATGGTTAAGATTCATTTTCATGTTCTCACATAAAAATGACATTCTCATATGATAAACAAAGATTTGTTTAGGCAGTTCCCCAATCGGCTTTCCTATGGGTACGTCTGCCCTTAATTCGAACTCGAATTGAGATACTGAAATTTAACCTTACTTGGCAAAAATCGTTTACAAGAGAAATATAGCAATGCAACCTTGCAAACTTTATGTTTGATGTTGATTTTAACATTTTCTCTTTCATTGATCTGAACTTGACCAAGTCACCCAACAATACCAATTTGAATCACCAAATCATACTACTCCTTTGCAAGAACCATCCATTCTTCAAAGCCTTCACTCGATCGAATCCAAATCGCAAATTGTTGTAACCCAGGATTTAGCAAAATAATCCATTGTCTCACGCTACTCTTTTACAAAAAACCTTCGCTCTTTAAATATTTCACTCGATCGGATCCAAATTGCATAATCTTATCCAGAACCTTCAAATCGTCAAATGATCTCGAAGGAAAACTCATCTCGATTTTCTTATTTGAAAGCCCAAAAGATTCTCAAAATAATTTACAATTTAAAAACCTAAATTGGATGTTATCAACTTTAATTCTAGTTGACACCCATTCAAAGAATCATTATGCGTAATTTAGTTGTGTATATGCATAGAACAAAGGTTAAAGATGAAGATAACTCTTTGTAAACTCGGTTTCATATGCGATTTTCCAAAAATCACTTAAAGACACGATGTATGCATGAAGTACACACACACACACACACACACACACACACACACACACACACACATATACATATATGTGTGTGTGTGTGTGTGTGCGCGCGCGCGTGTGTACATGTGTGTGTGTGCGTGTGTGTGTGTGTGAGAAATAGAAGCAAAAAGAATGCAATAGGTTTAGAAAATAATGCAAATTTTCAAGATTTTGAATGCATGTGCTGACCTATGAAATTCATGTATCGACACATATGATACATGTCGACCTGTATAGGCAGCACATCAAACAGAGATTACAGGCTTTAAAAATGACTTACATGTGTCGACCTGTAACTCGTATGTGTCGACTCATAGCATGTTTGTGTTGACACATAAACCTGTTTTTTTTATATAAAAACCAGTTTTTAATGCATGAGAACTTTTCTAAACTATTTCCAAAATATTGTTATGCTTCCTAATGCTAAGATGCACATTTAGACTCAAAGGATACCGTCTAATATACATAAACACTAAAGTACCCTAGTTTTGGATATCATACAAAACAATTATAATAAGAAGGGCACTAACAATTCCTGTTTACAAATTTGTGTTATTTACTGCCTCGTTTACTTTGCTTCATTCTAATCCTGATACTTTCATATGTGGGTTGAAATTGATGATCCACTTGAATTCCCATTAACATTTGATGTTCTGTTGGATATGGAGGTTGCTTTTAAGGTGAAGTGGCAACCCCCGATAGAAAAGTTGCTCTGTTGTCATGATTCTTCGCGATGAGTCAGTCATCAAACAACTAAAGGCTCACTGGAAATAAGGTCAGATATCCATTCACCACTTTGTTCATATGACATGTTTTTGTTTCATCACACTGCTACTGATCCTTTTCTACTTTTGACACCAAGGTAACAACATCTCAGCCACCTATAACACCACAATTGTTGAAGGTATTGTCACCGTTTCTTTGCGCAGTTCCTATTTGATTTTATACGTTTGCATGTTTAGATAAATAGCATGATGGATTTTGTTTTAATGTTGTTAAGATTAAAGAGAGTGTTGATGAGGCTAAATTTGATGTTGATGAAGATTGGGAAGTTGTTACAGTATCATTGTGCTTATTTTTTTTGTCTTATACAATTATTTATTATTATTTTTAATTTCTTAATTACGGAATCTAGAAATTACATCTAAGTATAACCCGTATCCAATCACACCGACTACAAAAAGACACAGTCTGGGTGGTTCAAGTGAATCAACCACCTTAGTCAACTTGTGTGACGGAGAACTCCCGTCAATCAAACATAAAAGAATTATTAAATTAGAAAAGAAAAATGAGTTGTTTAAGTTAACTATGTAGCTATCATTTAATGTAGTATTTTGCATTCAAACTATTAAGCACCTCAAATAAGTTTGTTTGCCGTATAACTTAACTTACATAGTCATATAGTAAATTCTTATTGAGCCCACCTTTATTACAACACTTCATTATCCAATTTTATTTTTCTCAAGTCTTTTCAAATGCAAACATTTTTCGCTTCTCAATTTCATTTATTTATTTTATTTTATTGCATTTTTTTTCTTTTAATTTTAAATTTCTACTTCTATTCTCAAATATGTATTATTTTTATGCGGAACAATTAATATTAGTTAAATATATATGTATAACACATTTTTTTCTATTTTATCATTCTTAACTTTTATTAATATTTTTGATAGTTTTTCCTTCGAAAATTTTTTTATCCCAATTTTGTATACATATAATGACAATACATAACATTAGTACTCGTACAAACGCACGGATATCCATTAGTTGACCAAAAAATTCTATCATGTATATTAGTTTATCTAACATATATTTTTGTTAAATATATTTTTATTCCATATTTTATATTTTTCTATAAAAAAACTTAGCATTTTTGCTGATAACATATATATTTTTATCCCATATTTTAATTTTTTATTCTTTCTGTGAAAAAAACTTAGCATTTTTTGCTAATGACATAGCAATTCAAATTCTGACACTATGAATTTTTAGTAATTATTTATTTATTTTTTATTATAAATCATTTTGAAAAAATATATTATAATATAAATTATTTTATAATATGAATAAATAATTAATATTACTTTTTTATTATACTTGTAATTTTTATTTCAATACAATTAATAAAAGATAGTTTTATAAAATTATTTATAATTTTTCTTTTTTATACCACAAGTTATTACTTAAAAAATAAAATAACGATATATAATAAAAAAAACAGAGGGAGTACCCTTTAGTCAACCAAAAAATACACAAATTTGTTTTATACAACAAATATTTGTGATTAGTTGATTAAAGTGTATTAAAAAAAATATTATCTTAAGCTTAGATGGTTAATATATTTTCTAACACATACCCGTCAAAATATGGTCAGATTCATTCAATGAGGGCTACGAAAATGATATTCTCCGCATAAAAAAAAGTATTTTATTCATTTAAAAACTATTTCTACAAAGTAACTTAAAATTTCTCATTGGCGATCAGTGGCATAAAAACCTTTCAGTTCTTTCTTTCCTTCACAATTGTGAAAATTTTCAGGTTTTCTCCTTCTCCCTCTAAAACCACTTTTCTTCTTCTTCGTTCTCTCGTTTTCTCTTTTAACTGTTTTATTTCACTAACCGTAGCATTTTTATCTTTTGCAGCTATGGTGGGAGGTGGTGGCAGTAATTCCGATATCTCCTTTGCCGGCACTTTCGCCAGTAGTGCTTTCTCTGCATGTTTCGCTGAGGTATATATATATGCATGTCGCTATATATATCCATTCCCTTTTCTTTAGGTTTTCGTTAGATTGGGAATTCTCTTTACTGTGTAATCTGTTTTTGTTATGGTCTTGTTGTGTAACACCTATGTATCACCTGACACATCTGAAAAGAGATGTGTATGTGTCAGCACTTTCACTGACATTTGTAATTACTTTTAATTTATTTTTTTTATTAAATTATTATCGGTGTCGCCGTGTTAGGATTGAATCATGTTTGAGGTGTCGGTACTTCACACTGTAAAACCTGTTTGCGATTTTGAATTTGACCATATTGTTTTTTGTTGTGTATTAATGGATCCTAGTTAATTGTGTTTTGACTGTGATGGACTTTGATTTGTGTGTTTTTAATGTTCTGGGAATTTGTGTTTTTGTTGTAGCATACGATGTTGACAGGTTGTTGTGATCTGAGAAAATTAAGTTAGTGTAACCTCGCGTGTCTTGTGTTGTATCAGACACTGGAAACATCTTTGACCTAAAGTGTTGGTGTTACATAGATCCGTAGTAGTGGATCAGGAAATTGGATGAACTAGTGAATGTGATTTTTTGTTGTTGTCTAAGTTGCATTTTTTTTATTTATATATTTTGATTATTACTACCCTTTTGCTTGCTCAGAATTAAGTTGAATATGAGTTGGTGTGCAAATCTGTTTTTGATGATAAGATTTTCATGAAGGTTGGATCGATTTGTGGTTGAGCGTATCCAATTGGTAGTGGTGAGTCTTAGTGCGTGTTTGGGTTGACGGTGAGTCTGGCAAAACCTAAATTTTGGACCTCAACAGAATTACAGTTCTGCTGTGGTTTTGTCAAACTCATAGGAAATGTTTTTGTTAAGTGCTCTTTTGTTATTAAAGGAGTTTGGTTTAAACTCATGGCTATTATTTTTCAAGACGTAACCTGGATTATGATTGTTCTATGCTCGATGATTTGTAGTTGCAGATCTTGGAATTGGATATTGGGATAAATTGATTGCTTTGTTGAAAGTCTTAAATTATCTGTTTGGGAGGAAAAAATTCTGAAAATGTTGTATTTGATATTCACTGACTGAATCAGTAGTGAAAATTTTAACTATGCTGTTTTGCATGTTCCATTCACTTGTTAGATGTTGTATTGTGGTGCTTTTTTCAAGAATTTGGTCCTAGTGTATATTGATAATTATATCCTCAAATTTATCTTTGATATAGATATGTACTATTCCTCTGGACACTGCCAAAGTTAGGCTTCAACTTCAAAAGCAAGCTGTAGCCGGTGACACGATAAACTTACCTAAATATAAGGGAATGCTGGGAACAGTTGGAACCATTGCCAGGGAAGAGGGTCTTTCAGCGCTCTGGAAGGGAATTGTGCCAGGGTTACACCGTCAATGTTTGTATGGAGGTTTAAGAATTGGGTTATACGAGCCTGTGAGTATTGACTGTGTCTCAGATTGTTCATTTATTTGAGTTCATATATCTACTTTTTAGCGTATGCAATCTTATAGTTTGAATTATTTGGGATTTTTAATAGGTTAAGAATTTGTATGTTGGGAAAGACCATGTTGGAGATACACCGTTGGTAAAAAAAATTCTCGCTGCATTAACAACTGGTAATTCCAATTATATTTCTTCTAAAGCTCTCAAAAGTCAATACATAATGTGTAATCATGATATTAAAACCCCCTTGAGTTTATCTTTATCAACAGGTGCTGTAGCAATTGCAGTGGCGAATCCTACCGATCTTGTCAAAGTTAGACTTCAAGCAGAAGGAAAATTGCCGCCTGGCGTGCCAAGGCGCTACACTGGATCATTGAATGCTTATTCAACAATTGTGAAACAGGTCTTTTCCTATAACCTTGTATGATTTTTGAAAAGATAAAGATGATTGTAGTCCTTTTTATGTTCCAAACTCATAGTTTGTCTTGTTTAATCTCTACCAAACAAACAGGAGGGAGTAAAAGCACTTTGGACTGGCATTGGCCCCAATGTTGCAAGAAATGCTATCATCAATGCTGCTGAGTTAGCCAGCTATGATCAAGTGAAAGAGGTAACATAAAAGATACTAAACTGTGTTTTTGAGTAAATATTTGTTATTACTCTTCTTTCATTATCTTAATAACCTGTTTTTTTCTACTGCAGACCATTTTGAAAATTCCAGGCTTCACTGATAACGTTGTCACACATCTTCTTTCTGGTCTTGGGGCGGGTTTTTTTGCAGTCTGTATTGGCTCCCCAGTTGATGTGGTAATTTATGAGAGTTTACTTGTGAATATGAATGTTTTATTGTGCACTTTTTATTGTCTCATCATGTTAACTATATATACTACATTCGGTTGCTTGGTGGGCTTCTAAACTATGTTGTTTTGCCTTTCCCCTAATTCAATATTTTGATTTTTCTTCTTCAGGTGAAGTCAAGAATGATGGGAGATTCTAGTTACAAAAGCACGATTGATTGTTTTGTCAAAACATTAAAAAATGATGTATGGATCTTTCTGCTATTGTTACTTTTTTCTCATCCTTATTTTTCTTTATTTAAGCATTAACTGTATAAAATAAAATATTTTACAGAAATGCACTTTATCTAATTGTAAATGATGGGTGCTTAGTGTATTATCCACAAGCATTGCAAGCTGAACAAACTTCACTTAAACTTTCAGTTTTTATGACGTCTTTATATGTTCTCATTTCTCTTTCTCACGCTTATATGCCAAAATAAAATTGATCAATTTCATTTCTATGTTGCATAATATGCTTTTTTTTTCCATTACATAACTCTCAATTAGAGAAATATTAAAAGTGGAGCGCTTGATTTACTTTCCTGTTCATATGGATTGTATTGTGATTCGCTTTCTTGTTCATAAATGATTGTATATGTATCTTGTGTGGTTTTATCTGTCATATCATTTATGTCATATGGTTGGTTTTGCAGGGACCTTTAGCCTTTTATAAGGGATTCATACCAAATTTTGGAAGGCTAGGATCTTGGAATGTGATCATGTTTTTAACTCTAGAACAGGTATGAGTTGAATACTTTGTGATAAGTCCAAAACATGCAACAAAAAAAAAGCAATTTTTGTGTTTAGTGTTAAGATGACTTAAATATTGATAATGGTTTGAGAAGCTTGTTAACAAGCTATTATCTGCTTAATTCAAATTTCAAACAATCATGATGGTGACATTTGTGTTAATTGACTATGTTCTTAATTCTTACGCACATTCTCACAATTAACCCACAAAGTTTGCTGTTTTAATTTCTATGTTTTTTGTTTTGACGCAGACTAAAAAGTTTGTTAAAAGTTTGGAATCAGCCTAAGCTCAACCAAGGAAGAGTAGAATTTCATGAGATTGGTCACGACTGGTGGTGCTAACAGAAATCACAGGAAAATAAAACCTTTCTTCTCTTGATTTTCCCTACTGGAATGTGTGGGCAGTTTTTGGCGGAGTAGAAATTAAGTATTAATAAATGTGTTAAACTTTTCATGTATGCTAGTTGTTAAAGTTTTGAATCACTGTTTTATTTCTTTGTAATTCTCTTGCAATTTTACTCTGAGCTGAATAATTGTTATGGGAAGTTTGACAAGAAACGCAACAATACTAAGTGGCAACATATATCATTTATAAATACTAATAATCATGCACTCTATGTTAGTAGTAACTTGGGTGATCATTTCCTGTTTGAGTAAAAACAGAGAATGGAGGGGCTGATAATAATTGAGGAGCAGAATGGTGTCATTGTTAAGCTGTGTGCATCTCGGAATCCAAATGAAGTGTTGTACAACTATCTGGTGGAACAATTTTTGTGACAGATCTCTGCGGACTCACGTGATGAAGGACAGCGTTTATAGGGTGTTGAAATAAGCTAGAGAGATGTTCAAGAAATTTTTCTGCAACTCCCCATTTTATACCTGGCATTCCCATATTTCAATAATACTCTAGTTGTCCGTGTGGGAAGTCAAGACTAAATCTTTGGACGAAATATTTGTAGTTGAAACAAAATATTCGATACTGACCATAATATCTAGTAGTGTATGCGAAATATCTGACACACCGGATATATGATAACATCTAGAATATTTGTATAGTACCGATTTTTTTTTAAAAATTCAGAAATTATCATATATTTAGTTAATTATTGAAAATATTGGTAGTTATAAAATAGTGTTGAATTGAATGGCTATGATTTTGTCGATTGTTTTAAACGATTGCACCGACCGTATTGTGTGGTACAAAATGACTCCAATGTTGCATAAAATAGGAGTCACTGAATGCTCATAGTGACCATAGCGAGTTCTAAATACAGTCTTCAGAATATCTTCTGACTTTACTCAAATCTGATGATAACCCGATATCAAATCATTCTTATTGAACACATAAGCACTAACATGAGGTCATTAGTTATCGGAAGGGGGTACTTAGTTCTTGCTAGTAACTTTATTCAGATGTCGATTCGATAATCAACACATAACATTATGCTACCATCCTTCTTTTTGACCAACTACATCGGTGCACCCCACAGTGAAACACTAGGCCATACAAACTTTTCTTTAAACAGACCCTGTAGTTGTTTCTTCAGCTCACTCAACTCTAAAGCAGACAATCTATAAGGTGTCATCGGCACAAGACTAGTATCAGATATTAAGATTGTGGTGAACTTAACCTCTCTCTGGCGGTAAATTACTAATATCATTTGGGAACACATCTGGAAATTCATGCACCACTGGAAGATCGTTGTAGCACCCCAAAATTGCCCTTTCGTTTTAACCGTAACTGGCTTATGTTTCTCTGCACTTTGCACATCATATCATTGGTTCTCGAGACATGAGATCAAGGTGTTTCTATGGCTCAGGGTTCTCTTTTATTGCAAGAGTTCAAACAACGAGCATCAGAGGCTCCGACATTTATTTTGCCCAGCGATCGAGCGGTCGATTTTATTTTATTCAACAGGTTATTTTCAGCTCAGGAGATGGTGTACAGACTACCTCAGGCATTCTCAGTTATAATATCCAAGGTCAACTTTCATAGGTTTAACGGAGCTCAGAACAGGTGGCAACGAATGATTATACCAGTTTCTGTAACGCCCCGATTCTGAATTTCCTTTATTTTGAGTCCTTTCTGATTTAATTGATTGAATTATTATTTTAAATGTGGAATTGCGTGTTAATATGTTATTTGTGCATATTGTGCTATTTTTGCCTACTTTGAGAGTATCGGGTAAAAATAGGTTGGAGGGTATTTTGGGCATTAGTGATTATGTTAAGTGGATATTTTATGTGAATTGATTAATTAGTGTGTGGAAAGAATTTGAGAGGAAAGAAAAGAGAAATGAGTATATGAGAGAAAAAGAGAAATTTAGTAAGATAGAAAAGAAAAACAAAAGGAAAGAAAGGAAGAGAAGAGAAAGAGGAGAGAAAGAAGAGAAAAACCTAGAACTTCAAGAAATCATCACCAAAGCTTTCGATTGTTCGGGTAAGGGTGTGAAACTTTATTATTCTATCAATGTGTATAATCATGTATGATTTTGTTGGATTGTTTTGGATTGTTGGTAGTTTTTCTACACTTTCCATTTTAGGTTGAATTTGGTTTAATCGATAGAAATCGTTGTCTAACGGTTAGAATCGTGATTAGATGGCGTAGATTAGTCGGTATAGGTTAGACTAAGGCTACTGGATATGAGTTGGAGTTCATCGGGTGTTTTCATCGGTGGTTTTGGATTCTGAACAGTGGGGAGAAGTGGAAATCGCAGACGCTCGCTAGCAGTTCGCTAGGCGAGCAGGTCGCGAATGATCGCTGGTAGTTCGCTAGGCGAGTGCGCAGCGAACGGTCCCAGACTTGGGACAAAATGGTATTGTGGTCTTTCGCTGGTAGCGAAGGGAGTAGCGAAGAGCTCGCTGGGGGTTCACTGTGGCGAACGAGGTAGCGAGCAATGTTTGGAAGTTCTGTTTGCACTCGCTAGCAGTTCGCTAGGCGAGGAGCTAGCGAACGCTCGCTAGCAGCTCGCTAGGCGAGCGTGTAGCGAACGTAGCAGGATGGATTTCCCTGTTGCTGGGTGCTGTCGTGGCTTGGGGTTTCGGTTGCGATCGACCCTTCTTTGATTTAGTAGTTTATATGCTGGGTTGTGTTGTGCTGTGGGTAGCCGTATGACGTGAATCCTAGATTATGAATTGTGGCCCCTTGGGCAATTATGTGCATGGTTTAGCCTGATTAAAAATCTATGATGTTAGTATGAATGAGTAGAATGCATGAGTATGTTTGTAAACATGTGTGCATTTTCAAGAGTGTCATGAGTCCTGTTGCATGTGAAGCATCATGGTATGCATTCTTGTGTCGATTGATTCCTCGGTGAATCTGCAGAACCTCGTGTGCCCTTGTGGAGTGTGAGCGATGGTTAATTATTGATTCCTCGGTGAATCTGCAGAACCTCGTGTGCCCTTGTGGGGTGTGAGCGATGGTTAATTATTGATCCCTCAGTGGATTTGCAGAACCTCGTATATAACGATGGTTATTTTGATTCCGCGTAGAATCTGCAGAACCTCGTGTGCCCATGTGGGGTGTGAGCGATGGTTATTTGGTTCTTCAATTGAACCTGCTGAAATGAGTCGGTACCGCATTTGCATCTGCATAGAGTCGTGTGTCGGTCTCTATGAGTTGCATGTTGACATCCTGCATGGTGTATGGTGAATGAACATAATTGTAAATGTTTATATGAATTGTTGATGATTGGCATGATTGGTATGCTTGAAGACACATGTATGTGTGAATATATGAATATGTATGTTTTGTGTGTTCATGAACCGATATAAACATTGTTGACGCATATTGTATATGCATGATGTTCTATTTGTAAATAGATAATGTGAATACATTGCGATGTACGGTATGACGAGGTGAGTTGTGGTGAGAATGTGAAAGACGTATATTGGGTATTATGTATGTATATATATATATATATATATATATATATATATATATATATATATATATATATATATATATATAATATATATATATATATATATATTATATATATATATATATATATATATATATATATATATATATATATATATATATATATATATATATATATATATATATATATATATATATATATATATATATATATATATATATATATATATATATATATATATATATATATATATATATATATATATATATATATATATATATATATATATATATATAATATATATATATATATATATATATATATATATATATATATATATATATATATATATATATATATATATATATATATATATATATATATATATATATATATATATATATATATATATATATATATATATATATATATATATATATATATATATATATATATATATATATATATATATATATATATATATATATATATATATATATATATATATATATATATATATATATATATATATATATATATATATATGTTTCTATGCATTGTTATTATGATATCGTTTCTCACCCTTCTGTTGTTTCTTTTAATGCTCTATGAGGCATTGCAGACTAGATTGCTGGAGGTATTTTTGTGAAGCGTGGCTTCTTCCCTTTTTGGTCGGTCGGCTCTGATATGTAGCACCTGGTAGAATAGGATTTATTTTGATTCTTTTGTGATACATCTGAGTATGTATCTGCTGTTGATATGTTTTGTAAAACATGATGAATGATAACTGTATATGTGATACATGTTTGGTGAATTATGAAATATTTGGATATTTCCGCCTTTGTTCTAAATATTTCTTGTGGGTGTTATCCCGTTGTTGCATATCTGTTGAGCAGGTGCTGTATGTGTTGGAATTTTTACGATAATGTGATATTTCCCTTTTATGCCATGTTGCAAATGTACTCTGATGAAATTTTAAAGTTATGCCTAAATGATTAATTGGATTATTTGGGGGCATAGAAAGGGGGGTGTTACAGTTTCTCTCAATTTGGCGCCATTTTTGGCAATTTTTGAATGTGGTAACCGATTACCACATATGGGTAATCGGTTACCCTGGATGAAATTTGTCAAGAAATTTGAATTTTCAGCATTGCAATTTTCCAATCATTTTCAACCATTGATCTCACATGATCATCCTTGGAAGGATCTAGAATTGATTCAATTTTTACCATTTCCCTCCAAATTTCAAATACTTCATTTCTAATTTCACTCCCAATTCCCTTTCCACATACTAATCCACACTTCAAACCACATTGTGTTCCTAACCTAGAGCTTATTTAAGTGGATTTGCTCCAAACCACACTCATTCACACCAATTCACTCTCATTTTTCATCTGAATTTC